AATCATGAGTACCATTGAAATTTTGTTGTTAGAATAATGAATATAAGTCCATTAAGAACACAGTTGGGGGATTGGGTGAAAAAAGTGGATGATTTTAGGGTTTTCCACCACCACTGTTGAAGGAGATGCGGTCCACACAAAACGACCTGCACTTGTCCTTTTTCTGCCTAGTTTCGGCACTAGTGTGTCATTTTTTGTGAATATCTAATAGCAATGTCGATTTTAATTGTATAATATCGACTTCAAGATGTCGTTATTTTTTTACAAAATTCAACCTGTATACATCGATTTTTTTTTTTTGTGGGATTTTATTTTTGAAAAACGACCACCAAGCTAAAAAGAATTCAATATTTCTTACCGCATTGTGTTCATCGACCTTAGAATCCTCCATATTGTTTGTGAGTTCATAATGTCTTCATTTGCAAGTTTTGGTAGGATTTGAGGGCTTTGGGTGTTGAAGGCGTTTGGAGAATATGAAAGAGAGTTTGTTTGGAGAAAATAAGTGGAATGAGTTTGTGAAGAAAAAGAGAGTGGGTTTTGTTTGCGGGGGCAGACCTTGTGTTCTTCTCTTCCCCTGCTAGAGCGTACGCTCTCGTTTTTCATTTTGTTTTTTTGATCTTGCAATAGTAATCAGGTCTAATTTGAATAAATAATATCAAAATCAATATTGTGGTTTTATTCGTAATTTTCAATCCTGCTCTTAGTAAGATTATTTATATTATAATTTTCCACTAAGTAAGGTAAGATTTGGGATTGCAAATAGTTGTTGTCTTTAAATAAAGATTCGTTACTTGTCCATTAATTTAATGGTTGATAATTCAACTTACTACCACAAATAAGTACATTTGAAATCATAATAGAAAGAAATAAGTTGTCCCGCAAGGGATGACCAAACGAATGGAGTAAATGAATTTGTGTCAACTGAACCAAGCTTGAATCTCCCTGCCATCGGTCTAGGTCGAGTTTATCACACATATTTAGTCTTGTGTAGTTTACGTCTTTCGTATGATTTGCAAACTATAGATTTACCAAATGCACTTATATAGTTGGCTTGGGTTCCTTCATTACCGAAAAAGGAAAAAAAAAATAGCTATTCAAATTGGACTATTGTGCCGTAGGGTTGTAAATTACGAGTCGAGTTCTAGTCAAGCTTGCCCGAGCTTAAGTAAATTTCTATGAACTCGAACCAGAGTTGAACTTGTTCGAGCCTAAATTTGTAGAGCTCAAGATCGAGCTCGAGCCGAACTCATTCGCATCTAAATTTTTAGGACTCAAGTTCATGCTAATCAAGCTCGGCCTAACGAGCTTTTGAACAACTAAAAAAGTTTGATTTTAAATTAATATTGTAGATATAATTTAGGGTTAATGAGGCATACCCCCCTGGTTTGAAAAAAAATTAGAACTAAACACCCCGTATTATTTTTAATAGTTGGAACCCCCTCACTTTTTCACAACCCGAAAATACCCTCATATTTTCTATTTGAAACAAACCCCCCCATCAGTTTATTAAAAAAAACTCATAAATTTGCTCCAATTATTTCACGATTCATGCTCGACCTAAATCACCCAAGATATTCCTCAATTCTCACAAAAATACTTCCTATTTTCGCCTCCAAGGTTGCTACTACACATGAGCCCCCTGCAAACAAACCCTACTCTATTTTATTTCTCGCAAAATCACATCAAAACGAAACGCAAAATGATTGAAGCAATAAAGCCATTCAAAATGGTGAAGAAGACAACACAAACCACATAACAAATTGTTCCAATCTGCTATATTGTTTGAAGAAAAACGACTTTGAAGCAACAACACAGTAAGACGCATAAATTTTCAATTCCAAAATGAAATATTTTGGTAGTCAACTATAATGTTCCCAGAGTCAACAATAAAAATTGGGTAGTCAACTATAATTTTTCCGAAGTCAACTATAATTTTTCCGAAGTCAACTACAATTTTTCCGAAGTCCAACTATAATTTTTCCGAAGTTCAACTACAATTTTTCCGAAGTCAACTACAAAAATCCAAATCCAACTATAATTTCTCACTAGTTAACTATTCCGATGTCAACAATAAATATTCGAACCTCTCACTGCCAGCTTCACGGCTTGACTGCATTACCTTCGTCACCTTCCCTTTGTCTTCATGTATTTCTGTGATAGCTTGTGCTTCTTGACAGACGCGTAACGGTTTGAAGTTCGAGCCCCACCCTAGCATTCGGTAGTCAACTATAATTTCTTCATCAGTTAACTATATTAATATCCAATTTAAGATCGATATCTTGATATTCTAAATGGAACCTCGACGACAAAAATCTTAACTCCGACTATAAAATAATAACATATGATTCATATAAAAGAAAGTAGACTTTCTGGATAAATAAAAATTGAGATGGGGAAGAATGAGAGAAAGAAATGACAAAAAGAGAGAAAAAAAAAAATTGAAGGAGATGATTACAGAGAAAGAGGAAGAAGAGATAGGGAAGAGAGAGAAAGAGAAAGAGTAAAGATACGTGGTGATGTCTGATGAGAAAAGAGATAGTGAATAGAAAGTGGAGAGAGAAAAGGAAAATAAAGAGAAAGAAAAACTCACGAAAATAATGGAAAGAGAGAGAAAGATGGAGAAAATAAGGAGAAAAATATGGAAATAAAAGGGCAGAAAGGGAATAACAATAAGGCCAGGGGGGTCTAACAATTAATAATATCAATTTAGGATTTCTTTAAAAAGGTCAAATTGTAAAATGGATCTGTGCTCTATAATTTTGTGTATTGAGGGGGTTATCCCTCATTTTCCCTATAATTTATCCATAATATTATCAGCTTAACAGCAATTCAATTGACAATTTTTTTTTTTTTTTTTTGTAGTTATAACCACTGTTGGTCGAAAACCTACACGCAAGTGCACGTATCGTACAAGTAATATAGTGGACAATTAAGTCCGGATATCGAACCCACAGGGAATATTTAATTATCTAATCCTAGACGCTAAATTCTACCAATTATTATCAAGCCCACCCTACACAGTCGAATAAGGATTAATAAATTAAATTAAACTAAAGCAATCGAAAAGCAAGCAAAAACAAGAAAGCAATTTAAAACGAGGATTAATCAAAGTAGACAAGCCTAGGATTTTATTCTTCCCCCTATGTGATTATTACTCCCCCAATTCCTTCAATTATGCAAGCAATTAACCCGGATTATTAACCTGAGATGCTAAAATAATCATAACCCGCTTCCACGTGTATTACAATTCTAATACTCTAGATTCAATTACTATATTCCTATGCAATTAATTCTAGAACACAGCATTAAGCACAAATCTCAATAATGGCTACCTAAGAGATCAACTATATTCCTATGTTAATACCACAAAGGCTCTTCTACCACAGTTCTAATTATTAACCCGATCTTCCGATTCATGCGATTAACAATAACATAAAAGCACATAAAGTGGCCAGTTTCATGAACTTAATAAAACAAGTAGAAGAAATAATCCGGAATTAAAACTTGCATAAAATCATAGAATTGGGTTCATAAATCCCACATAGGGTTCCAAATAAAATCCTAGAAACAAGTAATTTAGCTACTCATGATTAAAGCAAAAACGCAAATAAAATAAATCATAGGCGATAAATCTTTGCTTGAAGTCTTCGAATTCTTCGTCTTCGTTATTGCTTTGTGGCCCTTGAAATTGCGTAAAAAGATGGATTCCTAATTGTGTGCTTGGCTTGGTCTTATATAGGGTGAAAAACTTGGGGAAGAAGGCAGTTTCCTTGTACAATTAAGATTCCTTCACGCGCCAACTCGCCCATCCGGACGGCCGTGTGAGATTTATGCCTAAAATCTGCACGGCCGCGCGGTCTATTCTCCAGAATTCTGCTTTTTTCACTTTTGGCCCATATTTTCTCCAAAATTGCAGTTTTGACCCCATACTTTTCCAATTCTTCAATTTGTACCTAAAATACAATAAATCAACTTTTTAAGCACCAATTATCGTTAAAACACACCAAAAGCTCAAATAAAAAGATACGATAAAGTGTAAAAATATACACTTAACACACCCCCAAACTTGAACTTTTGCTTGTCCTCAAGCAAAAATCTACCAATAAGCAAATAACTCAACGATAACATCTCATCACATAGATCAATGATCAACTTCACGTTTTCAGAACTTGTAATTATAATGACAATTCCTTAGACATTCGCAAGTATGTAAACACCTTTTAAATCAAATAGGCAAAATGGTGCGGTGCATTTCGAGTGATCATTTTTTTAAGAGTTGTAACTTTTAATCATAACATTTGAAAATTATAAATATATTTCAAAATCCACCATTTGAATTATGTCATAAATCAAAGAAAGTCAATTTGAATTCATTTTCCTGTATCCGAGCATTTCTAATCTCTCATTGCATATTACTGCAAAATCTAGCCTTAGTTTTCGTGTCTTGTGAAAGACCACAATGTCATTTTATTCGTCGCATTCCTAGAATTGTTCTACTTTGTTGGAACTGAAACACTCGTTGTATTTTGGAAAGAATTGTCGTAAACCGACAAAATTTATTGTTTATATCCAATGATTTTGTACATACTTTTTAAGGAGAACAAACCGATAAAATCATTGGATATACACAAAATCATTGTACATAGCAAAAATGTCTTAAGGAGAAAGAACCAAATTCTTGCATCCACTACATTTTTTGTATCAAAACTTTGTCCAAATTTTGTTCGTTCATGTTTCGATATACAACATAACATTTAGAGAATTTTAATCGTCACATATTGCAAGATTCTTGAAATTAAATCAGTTGATTAAGCTCAATATTGAATACAAATCAACTTGAACATACTCAATATTCAATACAAAATCAATTGATTAAGCTCGATTCGTTAACATAAGGAAACAAACTCGAACATATTTTTGTTTAACGAAAACAATTAATTCAAACTCGAGCTCGGTTACGAAAAAAAAAGAAAACTATATGTAAAAACAGTTCGAAAACCTTGTAAAACAATCCAACCTTGAATCCTTCCTTCATCAACAATTAAAAATAAAATAAATTTATAGAGATGAAACCTAAAAGAGTATCATCTTTGTATGTTAGAAGCAACAAATAAGTCGAAAATTTAATAAAAATAAAAATAAACACACAAATTTAATAGTTCAAAGAGGTAACCTAAGTGGTTGTTGGCCCTACAAACACACCACAAATCACATCTTTGAAAAGTTATATACAGGTTTTTTTTTCTTCTTTTTTTCTAATATATAAAATGTCTTATTCAGCTGTAAATTCGTTCGGTGTTCAAAGAAGTTGCCAGTCGTCTTCTTGTGCACAATTCTCAGTTGCCAGGTCATTATCAGCATTATTTTTATCTTCAATTTCGGTATTGTTGTTACCGGCTGGCTTTGCTAAAGTGCGTGTCTCGGCTATTGTAAATAGTGGGGCCCCGTTCGATTGATCGATTAATTCCGATGCGCGTGCACAAAAATCATCAAAATCACCTGCCAGCAAAAGCAATGAGATCCAACAGTTGACGGAAAAAAATAATTAAAAAAAAAATTAATAAATAATGGCATACTTTTGTCCCTGCAATAAAATCCAATGGCCAAGGAGGAATCGATGGAATCCAGAGGAATATGCCTCACAACACTGTTAAGTAAGAGTTTAGAGAAATTAAGAAACGATATTTTAGGTTAATGGAAAATCGTTTTTTTTTTAATTTAAGGAAGAATTTTTTTAACTTACTTGCAATGGTAAGACGAAGTATCCAAATCTAGATTATCCCTCTTAATGTCGATTACCTGCCGGTAGAATGAATAGCAAGATTTAATAATATTTTCAGCAGATAATCAAAGTTTAGGATCTTCGACGAGCATACAAAAAAACGTAATCACTAAAAAAACTTTATCATAACACAGTAGAATCAAACAAAAAGAGACAGTAATGACTAATCGACACGTGCTCAATGTGTAACTTCTACTGAATTACCACCAACTTCCAAAAAAAATCATAAAAAAAAATTAAAAAAATAAAAAAAAATAATCAAGAAATTGATAGTAGTCGCTAGTACTGATCAAGATGTATAGTTGCCATAACTGTACAAGATATTCGGTATGATCACGACGGGTTCTTCATTACTAATCAGGGTTAACTACAAAGACCTCGCCTGAAAATAGCATATCATCGAACTAAACTCTACTTCAACTTTAACGGCACGTATTTATTTGAGTTATACGTGTCTTACAAATATATTAGTTCTCGATGTTGAGTGTACAGTTGTCCCTTGGTTTTCCAATATTTTGATTTTTTTTTTGAAATGTTTAACAGAAGCATCAATGGACAACGAGTCGATTGATAACTTATGTTTGAATTTTCTTTTATATTTTATGAGATCTACAGTCAATATTACATCAGCTCCGAGGGGAAGTCGTTGTAATTAACCCTAATAATTAATTGAAAGACAATAATTATCCCTTTTGCAACATAGAAACGTATACGACAAAAGGGAGCATACTACTAATAACGAGCATGTGGATCCGAACATGACAAAAAAAAATCTTGGCGAATAATAAAAAATCAGCACCAGATCAAACATGATACTTTTTTTAAGTGAGTAAATCAAGAAAACAGGATTAATGTTCATTAAATATTACCATAAAAGAGCATACTTAAATACTTTTAACAGATTAAAATTAAAAAAATAAATTGTATTAACCTGCTGAACTTCATGTGGATCGAGATAGAAGGCCTTTTCGTCTTGCACGCCGACTATGTATGTAGAGGCACCAGGTCTACCCCCCAAAATACCAAGGCTTTGCGGAAACGTGAATGTAGCACTCAGTAGTGGAAGATACCTGCATCCCAAAACAAGATATTGTTAAAAATAAAAAAAATAAACAAAAATTAGTTGTCGTTGCTGAATTTACTATCACGATATATATATAAGTTTAGTTGTTCTTTTTTCCTGAATTAGAGTCGAATAGGTATCAGAATGTAGCTTCACGTTGTTATTTTACAAAAATAGTTTGATTTTTACGAGAAAATAAGTACTAGGCCTTGTTTGGTTCCTAATATAAGATTAGCCAAGATAAGATTAATAATCTTAGGCCTCGTTTGGTTGCCAAGATCAGATTAACCAAGATAAGATTAAATAATCTAATGAAAACCCAATTATTTTATCGGATCCCGGGACGTCCAACAAAAAAACTACCTAAAAGACAAGATAAGGCAAGATAAACCACGAGAACATAAAAATTTGCGGGTCGGTCCGGCAAGATATTGGGTATTCCAAACATCAAACAAAGTCCTATTATTTAGTTAATAATGGCTAATCTCCCCAACCAAACGAGGCCTTAATGAAAATCCAATAAATAATCTCCCAATAAGTCCAAATAGGCCATAATAAAAGTTATTTTCGGGTCGACCTGGAAAATTATTGGGTTTACCAAACATCAAACATAGTCCGATTATTTAATTAATCATGGCTAATTTTTTCAACCAAAACGAGGCATAGCTGAATTACATTCATGACAAAGTTTTCCTTTCTGGCCAAGTTCCTTCTAGCTACTCTCGGATATTAAAGAACCATATGTACGCATAAACTACTCGATATTTATAACCGGATCTAAATGAACCGTACCTTGGATTGACTTTCTCGAGACCTAAAACCAAAGGAACCATCAGTAAAATAGGAGCCCAATCAACTTGGCCTCCACCAAACTCGGAACAGTGCCTCAAAACATCCTCGATGCACACAACGGGGGCCCCACCTCTTTCACCATCTTCATCACCAGAAACCACATATAGCGCCATCGTTGATAACAGAACTCCATTATTATCAATTTCCTCTTTTTTATTCCGCACCAAACTCTCCCATGTGCGACACATGGCATACGGGCCCACCCACGAGCCTGGAGCAAGCCCGTATGCCTTTCCCGCTTGGAGAAGATTGTGCACCGAACAAGGGGAATCTTCAGCATCTCCGAAAAGATGCAGTATCTCTACGTATGTTTGGTCGAGTGGCTAACACAAGTTCGAAGAAAGAACCACTATTAGCATTATGTATCACCCATCAAATGGAAAATCTATTGATAAATGTCGTGTCGATTATACTGATACTGTTGCGATTTCAAACGTGATCTTGACCATTTTTTCGAGTCTCGGTTTGGCAAAAACTCAGAGCACGAAATTTGTAGTCCTTTGGGTTAGCTTTCTAATTCAAGCTGAATAAGCAAGATTGTATGTCGTGAAAGATATCCACGAATGAAGTTTTCAGTTATCTAAAATTCAAAATGTAACTTATTCATGCGTAACTTTATCACCCGAAATTCAACCTAGCTGATTCAAGTTGGACTAAAAAGCTAACTCAAAGGACTACACGTTCCGTGTTTTGAATTTTGCCTAAACTAGGCTCGAAAAGGGTCAAAATCACGTTTGAATTCAAGACGGTATTAGTAAAATCTAAAGAACATTTAGCATTTCAATATTTATATTACCTTGTGGGGAGATTTTCTCCACGATCTTCCTAATTTATGAACAAGAAACGCCTAAACAGCACAGGGGGGAATAAATCAGCAAAGTAATCTCATTAAAAAAAAATCAATAAGGAAACTAACGAAAAAGAAACACGTGTAGTAGTATGCCTGAGCAACGAGCATCTGGCTGCTTCGAAGCATACAACCCCAATTTACGTCACTAATGTACTTCGAATCTCCAATAGGCGAAAACCCTACAAGATCAAGATCCGACAAAAGCCTAGTCATTCAATTAATACCATTCTCATTTCAGACAAGTGACAAAAACCCAACAAAAAAAAAAAAGAAAGGGTACCTTTACGATAAGTTATCAAAACCCGGGAAGAAAAATCCTCGACGAATGCAGCGAATCCCTCGCTCTGCGTCGGATCCGAAGAAGATTCCTCTCCTTCTTGAGAAACCTGATAACAAACCCCCAAAAGGCAAATATTGCTCTTCGAAGAAGAAGTGCTTGCCCTACTAAACCCCCAAATTCTCCTCATTGTTACACCATTCATCATCACTCTCCTCACTGCACCTCTCCACCCCTCATAATAATTCTTACTACCACTCGACGATTTTTTCCTAATAATACTACTACCGCTATTCCTCGACCCGCTTTCGGAACGATTACCGTTCGAAATTCCGAAAATCGGTATAGTCGTCGGCCAGATTACCGACCAAATCGCTTCCGATTTTTCATGGTTGCTGAGTAGAATACTCGGTTCTGCCTCGGACGAGACAGAACCAGGGGAATTCTTCGGTGAATTATCGAAATCGGACTTTTTAACGGCAGAATTGCGGAGGGGATCAGTGTCGATTTCGCGAAAACCCTTCATTAACTAAATCATGAGATTCAATGAGTGGCGCCCCATTAGAACAGCTTCCCTATAATAAATAAGAATCAGTGATTTTGATCATCTGGGCAGGAAAACAAAATTAGGTCTATTAACTATCAAATTAAAACAGGAATTAAATGTACATCTATCTCAGAATTTAAATAGCAAAGAAAACAAAAATCAAACTGATCTGTAATTATTGAATTTTCAATTATTTTTCGTTTTACGTTCTGTGTGTATCGTACGATTGTTACAGGATGAACTGACGATGACGAACAAGAGAGGATTTAAGAAACGACGTCGCTTACCGGAGATG